CTACTAACTTCACGTAAACACCTAATGATAACGATTAAAATAGTAATAATAATAAAGATAATATTTATAATAATAATAATAAATAATAATAATAAAATTTTATTTTAACAATAGTAATAATAATATACTAATTAAAATGATTTAAATAAATCAGTAATATTTTCCATACAACAATCGTTATTACATACAAAGTTACAGTTACAAACAGTAATTAACTGACAAAACGTAACAACTAACGATGACATAAAAACAACCGCTGCTAAAAAAAATTATACAGATTTATAAATATATTTTTCTTATAATATAATAACCGAAATATATTGCAAATAATATGACAAAGCAAATAAATAGAATGCAAAAAAGAAAAATACTTAGAAAATCAAAGCAAATCAAAAGTTACAACAAACATTACAAGCAAAACAAAAATTTAGGTTAAGTTTATTTGGCAATAATACAAAAAACAACATCAACAACTACAAGAAAAGAACAACATAAATTAGAAATAATAAAGAAAGAAAGAAAAAAAAAAAAATTAATAATAATACACGGTAGAATAAAACATTTATAACAAATGCTCAAAACGAAAATAAAAACAAAAAATATATAACACTATAAAAAATTAGATATCACTATTTAAAAATAATTAAATAACTAAAAAATAAAACAATAAATGACTAACAAAAAATAATAAGTAAATTTTTATACGCTAAAAAACTAAAGAAAAATCATTACTACAAGACCACTTAAATAAAAAATGAAATCGTGAAAAAAGAATCCTAAAAAAATATGAAAGAAAACTAAAGAAATATATGAAATAAAACAAAAGAAATATATGAAAAAATTCATTTTCGGATCTTTTTTCGATGCATAAAGTTTTTTTTTCCTTTTTTTCCATTCTTTTTATTTATTTCATTCATTAACTTTTTCTCTTAACTTCTATTTTCTATACTTCTTTATTTATTTTCTTTCAGATGATCTTTTCTTGTTTTAAAATATTTATTTTTAGTTGATTTTATTATTGGCTTAACTTATAAATGTTTTCTTTTCTTTCTTTTTTCCTCTCTAAAAAAGTTGTTTTTATCCGTTTGAAAAAAGCGTCCGCCATTTCCGATGTCATTGCAAAGTATCAGTATTTAGTATATGTTATTGAAATAAACTGAACCATGCGAAAGTACTCAAATAAAATCTTAATAATAATTTTTCGAAAAAAATGCATCCTTTCATTAGCATATTGTATGTAATATATTAAAAATGTTAATTAGTACTAACATCCCATTTTGTATGCGTGTTTCTTTTTGCAGTGACCTTTCCATAAATCAGAACGAATTAATACATTACACATAGCGTTTTTTCTCTCGGTACTATTTTCAAATCTTATAACTCAAAGTTTATAATCTTTTTTATTTTTTTGGTCCGATAGTAAATGTATACTGTTTAATAAGAGATTTTTTTATAAGAAAATGTGCACTCAATACTCTAAGTAATAGTAAATACTGTCAACTATATATATTTTATCACCCCGAAAAATATGTGCCTTGACAAACATTTCCTACCCTCCCCCATAAAGTATATTTTCGAATAAACTATTCCGGTAAGATAAAATATTTCTTCCCCTCGATAAAAAATGTTTCTCCTATAAAAAATTTAATAAAACTTTTGTTTTAAAAAAAATTACGAGAACTAGAAGATAAAGAAATCAAAAACCCTTTTTAGAGCCGGGATTGCCAAAACCTGACCTATACTAAGGAACGTTGATATGCATGACAGATCGTGATGCAGAGTTTTCAGAATTTTGCATTTTAAAAAAATAAATAAAAAGCAAAAAATAATAAATCAAGAAACTTAATTTAGAACAAAAACTGCACTTGAAAATAATAAATAACATGTTTTAAATGAATTTTTGCTTCCCTTTCTTTTTTTCCAGGGATATATAACCAGAACGTCGCTTTCTTGATTTTTCTACATTATTTTTAAAAATAGTTAAACAAAACTAAAATAATTTACATTTGCAAATTTGTACTTCTATATAACTAGTTGAAAAACAGTGTTCGCAAATATTCTTGTCGTTAATAAAAGCAAATAACTATAATGAAAATCGACAGCAAGTTATTTCTTGAAAATGATCCGCAATTTCATCAAATTATTTTACATAATTACCATAATTATTTACTAAACAAAAGATTAGAATATCTAGCTCAAAAAATAAGCTAAATATTCAAAATTAAATTAAAAGTATTAGCAATTTGTTTTCATATTTTTTAAGACTAAGTAAAGAAAATTAACATTCGATTTTTTTACGATTTATTTTCGACATTGACTAACATTCAATTTTTTTTTTTCATGATTGATGCGTGTGATTTAAGTAAAGTTTTTTTTATGTAGTTAATTTAGCATTTAAACTGATGGCATATCCTCTCCCCCCCCCGCCCCCTATATATATATATATATATATATATATATATATATATATATATATATATATATATATATATATATATATATATATATATATACATATTTATATATTATATTAATTATGAACTTTTTTCAATCTCATAGTTACTTGTTTAGTGCTTCTGAACTACTTCATCACTATTGTGATTGTTGAGTTCTTCTGAATAATGTATAAATATATATATTTTAAGGGAGACCGGGACCAGCTGCAATAAAGTTTAAAAAACTGCATTAATCTCCTAAATTTTTTTTTTTTTAATTTTTATCAGGGTTATAATATAGATCTTAGTGACGTATTAAACCAACATTTATAAATATAATATAAAACTTTGTTGTTCCGCAATAGTGAAACAAAAATAAATAAATAAATGTTGCAACTTGCTTCGGTCGGGGCAAGTTACAACAGTGAAAGGGGTAAGTTGCAACACATTACATTAAAAGTAGAAGCCTCCCATGGTTTAAATAAATATTACAAGTTAATCTCTAATTTCTAATTAGCAACAACAATTTTATATTTATAGTAAAAGAAAGTAGTATTTTCCTTGAGCTGCAATACTGTTATTATGAGAGAATTCACTTACACCTAATTTGTTTAGTAAACTGATCATTGTATTCAAAGATTTCAGAGACTGAAGAAATGAAACAAAAAGATTATTATTTAAACTAATTTAGTACTCTAACTTCCAAGTGTTTCTGAAAAAAAAAGTATTTTCTTGGTTAATAAACAATAAATTGGTTGAGAAAAATGCAAAAAAAAAAGGTTTTAAGATATTTAGATTCCGTTATTAGAATATAAAAACACAATAACAGTTTATTTTTAAAAAATCTTAAAAAATAAAACAAATATCAAATAAAATTTCATATAAACAAACAAAAATCAAACTTAGATTTAAGTAATCAATAACAACAAAGAAAAATTTTTCTTACAATAAACATTCATTAAAGAACGATTAAGTATTAAAGAAACAAAAGAATTTAAAATTAAACAGTTAAATTTTGTAGAAATATTAGGAAATAGAAAAATCTACATTATAAAAACGTCGATTACTTTAGAAGTAACTAGAAAAATACTAAAATCAATAAAACCCGCATTTATTATATGATTCAACATGCCCTAAGTAATTTGTTGCAACTTACCCCGTCATTATCACTTTAATCAATGTATAAAATTATTTAAATTAAATAAATAATATATATATATATATATATATATATATATATATATATATATATATATATATATATATATATATTATATATATATATATATATATATATATATATATATATATATATATATATATATATATATATATATATATATATATATATATATATATATATATATATACAGTTCTTGGTATATAAACAATCGTATATATATGTATATATATATATATATATATATATATATATATATATATATATATATATATATATATATATATATATATATACAGTTCTTGGTATATATACAATCGTATATATATATATATATATATATATATATATATATACATATATATATATATATATATATATATATATATATATATATATATATATATATATATATATATATATATATACAGTGGTTGGTATATATACAGTCGTATATATATATATATATATATATATATATATATATATATATATATATATATATATATATATATATATATACATACATATATATATATATATATATATATATATATATATATATATATATATATATATATATATATATATATATATATATATATATATATATATATATATATATGTATATATATATATATACATATATATATATATATATACATATATATATATATATATATATATATATATATATATATATATATATATATATATATATATATATTATATATATATATATATATATATATATACAGTTCTTGGTATATATATATATATATAATATATATATATATATATATATATATATATAAGTAAATAAATGGGAAATCACCCAGCATAAAAAATATTTTTTCTACATTTAAACGCTTTCATTTTATTGGTATGATAACTAAATAAAAAAAAGTTTGATCAAGACTGTAAGAAATTCTAATCGTTATTATAATAAATGTTGTTTTATGTTTATTTAATTATTTTTTCAAAATGTTGTTAAAACTTAAAAAAAAATTAATAAAAATAAAACCATCGATTTTAATTTTTTATATAAAAATTGGAAGGTCAATGTTAATAACAATTTAATATGTGGAGTAGCTTTTAGAGATAATAATTACAATTTTAAAGCATGATATAATAATTTTAAGACCAATTTAGTGAGATTAAATCTTATTAAGAAACAAATAAGTTTTTATAGTTGGTTGCGCCTTGCTTGTTTTATTAAGTTTTCTAAATCATTTAAAATTTTAAATAAAATTACTTGAAGTTTTAGACAATCTCTAAACTTTTAGTAAGTATCTAATATGTTCTAAAATATAGTGTTCAACACAAAGATTAATAGAATGAAAATCCATTTTTAAGGCTAAAACTAAATTTAATTTAAAACATACCAATACAATTATACGTGTGTTGCAAATCCAAATTTGTTATGCTACAAACATCTCTGCAGTATCGTTCGCCACACGGAGTATTTGTTTCACAAAGTGGTCCTTTCTAAATTGATATAAAATGCTACTTTCTAAATTGATATAAAATGCACACTATGCGGTAGTGGTGTAGTGGTAGAGCGCTCGCTTCATAAACGAGTGGTTCCGAGTTCGATCCCCACCACGTCCCTGGTAGTACCGCGCTCAACTCGTTTCTCCGCGCAGCGGCCTTGCTCGTCAAGGTTTGCGTTTCGGAGTTATAGAGTTGAGAGAGGGTTATAACCACAAATAAGTAGCCTCCTCGTCTGTAGTGGCCTTCTCGGCCTTGAGGAGGTGAATTAAAATAAAAAAAAAAAAAAAAAAAAAAAAAAAATATATATATATATATATATATATATATATATATATATATATATATATATATATATATATATATATATATATATATATATATATATATATATATATATATTAGGGTGTTCCAAAAAAATGACATTTTTGAATTTCAAATAACATTGCTTTTCGAAAGGTGCCCCAACCTTGATATTACTATTAATTTTTTTTTTTTTTCATGATTAGATCACTTCATGACTTCCCTCAATGGGTCCAAAGGTCATTTTTTGCCCATATTTCGGACTAATTGAGGGGAGTGTTACCATTATCCAAATTAATTTTTCTTTCTTTTTTTTTGTTATTTTATCTTTTTGAAGAAAATAAAAATATAATGTTAAGCTTAATTTGTTTTTTTATTCAAACAATGAAGATCAAAAAATTCAAAAACATTGATTTATTTTACTATATTTCACTACCTTTTACTACCTTTGTCCTATGTACCATTTTAATGTGTTTTCTGTTATATTTTAAATACGCGTATAATTGTTTCATTTTGTGAACAATTATATTTTACCTTGTGTATGCAATTTGACTTTTAACTTATTTTATATTTTTGGTTACCATTTATCTTTTTAGTAACTAATTAACTTAAAAAAAAGTTATTTTATAGTAAAATGCCACCAAAAAAGAAGTTGAAGCTTACTTGAAATAAGACTGAAGTCTTTCTAGTAAAGAAAGTTAGAGAAAATCTTTCATGTTATAAACTTCCTACTGGCATAGAGGTTTTGCAATACTACCTATATCTAAGAAACTTGAATCCCAAAGTAAAGAAAACAGTTTTAATTAGGTGTCATTTCGAAATTAATTCATTTGAGCTCAGATGCCCTCCACAAGCTGACTGTTGTGTTATGTCTAAATTGGTAAGGCCATGGAATCTTGCAGGGTTCCCTATCATAACCTTGGAAAATATCAGGTAAATTATGATTTCAAAATTTATCAACAAATTTATTTTTATCTTTATTTTAAACATTGAATAAATTTTGCATTTTAAAGAATGAAGATTGATAAAATGGTGTACAACTATTACAAGTTAAAGAAGAATAGCGAAAGGAACAGCCCAACAGATACGAAAAGGAATGAGGCATTTTTTGAAGAAATGTTAAAATGCTTTTGGATTAGTAAAAAAAAAGAAGAACTAATTGAAGATATTATAAAAGACAGGAGAAGGACATCCGAAGCCAAAAATGAAGATTTAAAGATTGTGTTTATCTTAGACCAAATCGGAAAGATTGTGTTTATCTTAGACCAAATTGGAAATAGGATAGGAAGAATAGGAACAAATGATAAAAGGTTTACGTACACTATTAAGAGATCCCACAAAAAATTGTGTTCTATGTTAAACATGGAGATTAAAGTAAACAATGGTAACAATCTATACAGTTTAGAAAACTCTTCAAGTAGTGATAATAATTCTGACTGTGAATATGTAGCAGATATAAAAAAAGAACAATCTACCTCTGTTGTTTTGTTACCAAAAAATATTTAAAAAAAAACAGCTCTCACAGCAATAGGTGAAGGACTTTCAGTTAGACAACACACTGCAATAGTGGCAAGTGTTATTGCTAATTCAGGAGGTGATGTTACTAATATTGCAATATCTTCTTCAACCGCATGTAGAGTTGCAGAAGAAGTTGTAACTAAAGAGGGAGAAAAGATTAAAAAGCATGTTACTGATCTTGTTAAATCTTCATAATTACCAATTATTCTCCATTTTGATGGAAAAATAGTTAAGGAGTTCACAAGCGGAATAGAACATCAACTTGACAGACTTGCTGTTTCCATCAGGATAGATGGACAGAGTGAGCTTCTTGGGGTTCCTCATTTGAGCTCTAGTACTGGAGAAGCACAGAAGAATACAATCATAAAACTTCTTCATCAATTTGATATTTTTTATAAATTACAAGGATGCGTTTTTGATACAACTTCTGTAAATACTGGTAATAAAAAGGGTGTGTGCATTAGATTAGCTGCAGAGCTTGATAGACCACTACTTCTCCTAGCATGTGGGATCACATCTATGAAAGGCATATTATTCACTGCTGGAACATTTATCCAAGCAGTAAAATAAATGGTCCAGATAATCCATTGTTTAAGAAGCTTAAAGATGTATGGAACTCAATTGATCAAAATTCCATTGTGTTAAACAAAGTAAAAATTGAAGATATTTCTGATAGCTGGCTGCAGGTACAGTTCAAAGAAGCCTTATCTTTTTCTCAAAATATTATCAGAATGAAAACAATGAAAAAGGTATTTAAAATTTTGAATAAAGTGAATACTCTATAATAAAATAAATTTAGTAAGGTACTGTTTTGTGTCTAAATAAATAATCTTATTTAGGATGGATGTAGGTCTGATTATCTAGAGTTAGTGGAATTGACAACAATGGTTTTATCTAGTAATGAACAGTACAGGCTAAGAAAACCTAGGCCTGTACACCATGCCAGATTTATGGCAAAGGGAATATACTTTCTGAAAATGTATCTCCTTCTAAACAACATTTCTAGCTTGACAGATTTTGAAAGAAATAAATAAATGATATGGCATTCTTCACAGCTGTATTTTACACTGAGTGGTTTATAAAGGCTGAAATTCCGGCTGTCGCTCCATATCAGGTGACATTTCTATGTTTTAAAAGTTTTTAATCATTTTGCTTTTTATTACTTTTTTTTCTTTGAAAATTTTGTGTAGTATTTCATAGTCTAAAAATCTTTAGGATATGAAAGCTCTTTGGCAGATGATGAGATACTCAAAAATCAATCCTGTCCAGGCAAAACCTGTTATAGAGTCTCTAAAGAGACACACCTGGTACATAGACCCAAATATTTTAGTTATGTCTCTTGTTGACAAAAATGTACAAGAACGGAGTGACATTGCCAAGAAGTTGTACTCAACCCCAAGACCTACAACTTATGCCATAGAAAGACAGCAAGTTAATTTAAATATACTGAACTCCCTTATGTTTAATGATGATACTCCCCCAAGTTTGACCCCGCTTATAACTGACCGGAGTTGGTTAATTTTTCATATCTTAAACCATGCAAATGCTGAAGTACAGTGGCTTAAGACTCCATCTGAGACATGGGATCTAAATGACTATTACTTAGAATTCAAACAATTTGTGAATAATCTTGAAGTAGTAAATGACTGTAGTGAGAGGGCTATAAAACTAGTTCAGGTAACTATTTTATATGTTTGGTCCTTAATGTTTATATTAAAATCTTACAAGTTTATTTTACAAGCTCATTACTTTTAAATATTCTTTAATAGGAGTTAATCAATAAATCGCATAATGAGGATAAAAGACAAAGTACCTTCCTCGTATCAAACAAATATAAGAGTGAAAGAACAATTTTAAAAAAATGTGATTATGTAAAAAAATCTTTGTTTACAAAATAAATTTATAAACATGAACTATGTTTGACAACTAATTCCTTCAGAAACTAATCATAAATATGATTTTATTATGTAAATATAAATATTTTAATACGTAAAGTATCTTGTTAATAAGCAGAACACTAATATAGTGCAAAAAAGCTTAAAAATGCCTTTTTTTTAATTTTTTGGTCTTCATTGTTTAAGTAAAAAAAAAAAAAAAAATTAAGACCCCTTGTGTACTAGCTCTTGAATACAAATTTGTATTCAAGAGCTAGTACACAAGGGGTCTATTTAGGACCCATATATGTAGTTAAAAAAGCGTTAAATTTTATCTTATTTTCTAATTTTAAATGTCATATCGATAGCGCAGTAGTGAGGCATTATAAATTGTGGAAAATCAGTAAAAAAAATTTATCGTTTAACTTAACTTAGCCGCATGTTTATTTAAAGACTTGGTCTATGAATAATCATGTGTCTTGAGAAAATAATACAATTTTAATTTTCGTTGAAGAATGATTTAATAGCTATATCAAGATTTTTATATTATGGGTTTTTATATAAAACTTTTTTACAGAATGAGAACCATAATTATTAAAGTCCCCAAAATACAAAAACATTTTCAAAAATATTTGCTTGTGGTCATTTTCGTTAAAAAACACGTGCATCCTTTACGACATAAAAAATAGTAAATGCGTACGACTTTAAGTACCTTCTTTGTTATAGTTTTCGTGTTCGAAAAAAAATATTTATTTAACGATAGTAACGGTAGGGATGTCATAATATGTAAAACTTTTTATGTCCTTTGCATCAGTGATGCCATAATTTCTTAAACAAGGGAATTCCATAGATAGACCAAATAGAACGTCTACCTCCTAATAACAAAGCAAGAATTGAGGACATAGAGTACAATAAGCAGTTAACTAGCATCTTTCGGGTTTACGAGATTCACCACAGTCGATATAAAAATATAAATTGCAAAAAATCTATGTCCTGACTTGAACACTAAGTACTACTTAAATCAGGTTATATATTAAGAATAGAATAAGGTGGTAATCAGAGACAAAATCATTTGTGAAATTTCAAAGTTTCAAAGTGAAATTTCAAAGATTCAAAGTTCAACTTCAGTTTTCACCTCCTTATGGATCTATCTGAAAAATGTGTGACATTTTGACTCATTAAGCAAAAAAGAAAATGCGTAAGAACGAACTAGAACTTTATCAATGAACGTCAGACAGTTCATGTGATAGCTTAAACACATATTCTGGTTGGTGTAACGAAATAAATAAACTGACTGTTCTT